ACACACACACATAAATAATTTTTTAAAAAGAGTACAAATTCTTTACAAGTTACACTCTAAGACACACATAAGGGGAGAAAGAAAATTCTCCATTCTTTCTACAGCCTTATCCCAGCCCTGTGATAATGACAGGTGGTGTGTCTTTACGCACAGTTTCTATCCTCAAACACGGGCACACAGATGGACGTTTAGTTCTAGTTTTCATATGACAGATTAGGATCCGTCTAAAAACGTTCCTGAAACTTGCCTTTTCATTTAGCCATAAACTATGGGTATTAATCTAGGTAAATACAGATCTGGCGTCTTCATTTTATTTTATTTTTTCCTGTATTTTAGGGAAGGGTCTACAGGGTGTTCAGGGTCTCACTACTAAATCGGACTTGTAGTGATCCACCTGTTTACAACCTCCCAAGTGCTGGGATTACAGGTGTGCGCCACCACGCCTAGTCTCAATCACTGTCTCAGAGTGCCCTAGGGGCGGGGCTGACACGGGGGGGGGGGGGAGGCGGGAATCGAAACCCCAACTCCTGCACCTGCTTGCAGGCGCTTTAATCTGCTGAGCTATTTGGCTGGCCCCTGGAATCTTCATTTTAATAGCTGCACAGGATTCCCTAGAATGAACGAACCCTAAATGTCCACTCACCTTCCAGTGGATCTTCTCCTATGGCAAATAATGCTGCAAGGACGACTGTTGTACTAGTAGCCTCCTACAGGATGCTGTAGTTTCTATGGAGCACTTCCCCTGAAGCATGATTGCTGGGGTACACCTCCAGCCCCCCTCCTTCCCAACGCAGGGTTTCATTACGTACTTCAGGATGCCTTTGAATTCACTATACAGCCCAGGCTGGCTTGGGGCTCATGATGATCTCCTGCTTCAGCTTTCTGCGTGCTGAGATGACAGGCGTGAGCCACCACTCAGCCCCTTATTTTTAACAGTGCAACAGTGGCAGTTGCCTTCTCCGGATTTTGGCTTATTCTCTTTGGAACCTGCGGGTTCCGGACACTATCCCTTTCCAAGGTCCAAGGCGCAGCGAGCCAGAGGCTCCCCTAGGCGAGGAAACCCTGGGACTGTGGATGCTCGGGACCCTCCAGGAACCAAGGGCTCAGGTGCAAAGCCTGGAGTCCAGTGTGATTTGGGAAAGTGCCCTTGCGTGGGCCTCAGTTTCCTTCTGCGTAGACTGTGATTCTGACCAAGTTAAGGCTGAGTTCGGCTCGAGAGCTGGTGACTTTAAATCTCTGCCTCTATTATCCCATCAATAGACCGCGCCTCATCCCCATTCATGCCCCATTCCTCAGTATTACCTCCGAAGGGTCCTTTATAAAGACAGATGAGTAAAGCAAACACTATATTTTATCTTTTCCCTAGATAGGTTACTTACTGCTTCTGCTTGGCTTTGGCTCACTCTCTTCCTCTTGGCTCGGCCAGCGAGTGAGCCAGTCTGAATCTGGCAAGAAGCCAAGGAGTGGTCCGTTCGGCCGATCATTTATTTCTGCCTGGACCCGTCCCCTACTCCGGCTGTGGTATGAAAGAGGAATCCTTGGCTCGGCCAGCAACTTATGTTCCTTTTACCTGTCACCACTTCCGGTTCCGGTTGCTGCCGGTCGTCTCGGGTCCCACGCGCGGGCATGGCTGGGAGCCGGCTGGAAACCGTGGGGAGCGTGTTCGCGCGGTGCGTGCTCGGAGCTGGGAGTGGGCCGAGAATGCCTCCCCGGGGCAGGGGTTCGCGGGGTCATGCCTCTCCTTGGGCGGGCTGGGCAAAGTCGTCTGCGGGTGCGGTGTCCTGGCCGAGGGAGGCTGTTGTGCTGGTGGGCGTCTCCTCCAGTTCGTGTCACTTGAACGAATGCATTCTCTACCCGACGGCCCTGACTGTAACTTTGTCCTTGCATTGTCCGTGAAGTTGGAGGGGTTTCGGCCAGAGCGACGGTAGGCTGGCGCGGAGTGTGGCGGTGTCTTTCCTGTAGGCGGGAGAACGCCTGGCTGCGTCCTCCTGCGTTCTACGGGCTGCGCAGCCTTTGACGCACCAGGCCGGGACAGACAGGTTGAGGGGCCTTGGCAGGCTGCATCACCTCCTGACCGCGCGTGGTTCTTTTCCCTAAGGGTACGGGACCTGCTCCGGGCTGGGGTGTTGAAGGAGAAGCCTCTCTGGCTTGACATATACAAGGCCTTTCCGCCGCTGAGGGAGCCAGTCTTCCGAAGGCCCCGCCTGCGGTATGGCAAAGCCAAGGCACTCGTCCAGGACATCTTGTACCACGAAGATCGGATCAGAGCGTGAGTGTGTGGCCCGTGTAGGCACCAGGTCGCGACAGAACTGGAGAAGGAAAGAAGGTTCAGGGAGCGCTCTGGTAACGTGGAGGAGACTTTGACCCGGGGTCTTGCCTGGTGGAGGTGGTCCCGGGCAGTAAGTGGAGCAGCAGCGGCTCTAGTGGAATGTGGAGCCCAGAAGCTGGCGCGTCCTTGCAGGAGTCCTTTGCCCACCTGCTTAGGGCCAGGCACTGTACTAACAGTAACCCCTTGTCAACGTAGGGGACTCAAGGGGGTTAAACTCTTTGGTTACATGGGAGGGTGGCAGTTGGGAATCACATATGGATTGGTCTTTGTTGATCATTGTGTGTGTGTCTGCAGGACCAGAGCTAGGAGGAACAGGGTCTACTCCTAGTAGCTGGGATCTTCAGAGGCTCTCAGGCAGAAGGACCTTCAGTAGCCCAAAGAATTTGAAATAATCATCACTAGAATTTTTTGAGGCATACTCTCCCTGTGTAGTACAGGCTGGCCTTGAACTGATTGTGTAGACCAGGCTGGCCTCCAACTTGTTGGATCCTCCTGCCTCAGCATCCCAAGTGCTGGAATTGTAAGCATGTGCCACCACACCAGACATCGCTGGATATTTTAGGAATGGTGCTTGCCCTTCCTTTTTTATTATAAAAGTAATATGTACTTATTGTATAAAATTTAGAAACCAAGAAAAAGCATAGAGAAGAAAGCACAGATCACTTGTACTCTCACCATCTAAAGACGGCAGCTTGAAGGAAGCCTTGGGACTTAGAACTGGGGACAAATTATCCCTGTAAGCACTAGTTTTCTTTTTTTAAATTTTAGTTTTATGTATTTGGTACAGGCTCTCACTACTCAGCTCAGACTTGTAGTAGTAATTCTCCTCTTTCAGCCTCCCCGGCGCTGAGATTACAAGTGTGCACTAGCACACCCAGTAGCATTAGTTTTCTTTTCTTTTTCTTTTTTTAATTAAAAAAAAAAAATGTGGGGCTGGAGAGATGGCTCAGTGGTCTAAAGCACCTACTTGAAACAAGCTTGTCAAAGCACAGGGACTGCATGCCAGCCAGCCCCGCCCCCTGGTGGGCTGAGCTGGCCACACACACACACACAATAAATAAATGTAATAAATAAATAATTAAAAAAAATAAAAAAAAATGTGTTTACTTAGAAGCATTCAGAATGTCAACAAAGCAGTTGCAACTTTTTTTTTTTGCAATTACAGAGTGGTATTCAATTAACAGAACAACAATTATTTCATATAAGTTTCTTGGTTTTTTGTTTTTTTTTAAAATTTGTGTGTGTGTGTGTGTGTGTGTGTGTGTGGCCAGCTCAGCCCACCAGGGGGCGGGGTTGGCTGGCATGTGGTGCTGGGGGATTGAACCTTGGTCCCTGTGCTTTGCTAAGCTTGTTCTAAGTAGGTGCTTTAGACCACTGAGCCATCTCACCAGCCCCAATTTCATATAAGTTTCATCAGAGACAACTGAAGATGAAAAACTACCGTCCCCATATGTAACTAATTGGTGCTGTGCGCCAACAAGAACCTGCTTTAAACTTCCATGCCAATTTACAACCCCCATATTGTACCAGGCAAGGTTAGTAGCTATGAAAATACCACCAGGACAGGGCTATCTAAAGCCACATTCGGTACTGTGTTAACTATACCAAAAAAAAAAAAAGAAAAAGACACCGTACAGTTTTTTTCCTTTGTGTCTTTTTTTTTTTTTTTTTTTTTTTTTTTTAAGACAGGCTCTCATTTTGCATTTTGGGCTGGCCTTGAGCTCACTTTGTAGCCCAGGCTGGTCTTGAGCTCTCAATAATCCTCCTGCTTAAACCTTCTGAGTGCTGGGATTACACGTGTGCACCACCACACCCAGCTTCTACAAGAGTTTTCTGTGGTACCTTCTATGTGCCAGGCACTGTGCTGACCATTAGGATATTTTATGTATTCAAATCTACCTTTTGGGGGCTGGCAAGATAGCTTAGCAGACTAAGTGCCTGCTTAGGCTAGCGCAGGGACCAGGGTTCGATCTCCAGCACCATGTGCTGCACCAGCCTCCTCCCTGAGCATGCTGAGATGGCATAGTGGTGCACACCTGTAATCCTAGCGCTGGGGAGACTGAAAACAGGAGGATCATTACAAGTCTGAGCTGGGTAGTGAGACTCTGTACCAAATTCATTTAAAAAAAAAAAAAAGTTATCTTTGTCTTTTTGAGATAGGGTTTCACTATGCAGTTTAGGCTGGAGTTGAACTCACTTTGCAGCCCAGGCTGGCCTCAAACTGTGGCAGTCCTGCTTCGGCCTCCTGAGTGCTGGGATTAAAAGTATGCACCATCATCCCAGCTAAACATCCAGTCCTTACCAGGCATTTTCAGAGGCGCTGAGCAATAATAGGAGAAATACTGGATTTTGGATACGCTGAGATTGTGTTCTGAAAAGAATAAATTTTTTTTTAAATATTTATTTATTTTTATTTATTACATTTATTTATTGTGTGTGTGTGTGGCCAGCTCAGCCCACCAGGGGGCAGGCTGGCTGGCATGTGGTGCTGGAGGATTGAACCGCGGTCCCTGTGCTTTGCTAAGCTTGTTTCAAGTAGGTGCTTTAGACCACTGAGCCATCTCTCCAGCCCCCTGAAAAGAATAAATTTTAAGGAACAGTGGAGGTTAGGAGTAGAAAAATTTATTGTAGAAAAGGAATAGGGGATAGGAATAGCTCCTGAGAAACCAGAGGGGGTCCCAAATGGGTTGCACTCTACCAATATTTTAAAAACCTTTTTTAGTTTAAAACTTCTTTATTTTATTTTATTTTTTACCAGAACCGGGGATTGAACTCAGACCCTGGCACTTGCCAGGGAAGCGCTTATTCCATTGAGCCATCTCCCGGCCCCATAAAATGTATTTATTTGTATTAGTACAGGTTTGTAGTACATAACACATTTCTCCTGTGGAGTTTGTCCATGGCTGTGACACATCTTCATTCTTTTCATCCCCTTCTCTTCTTCTCTTCCTCCCCCTCTCTGTTCCTTTCTCTTTTACAAAAGACCCCTCTCTCCCTCTAGTTCCTATTGTCTGTCTCTTATTTTACACTGATTCTTTTTTGGGTTCTCATATAGAGAAATCATGCAATATTTAAGCTTGTATGTCTGATTTAATTCTTTTTTTTTCTTTTTGGTCTTTCTGTCCTTCAGTTTACTGTGTTCAGGAAGGTCTTTTTCTTTCTTTTTTTTTTTTTTTTTTGTGGTACTGGGGATTGAACTCAGGACCCTATGCTTGAGGAAGGTCTTTTTCAAATTCAAATATTTTTTTATTTTTTGCTGGGTCACTTTCAAAGTGTAAATCAGGTCTTGAAACAAATAGAAATAGTTGTTCTTTAATCTCATTCCCTTCTTCCTTCCCTCTCCTTCAAACATGGACAACCTTCAAAAATGTGTTTCTAATGATTTTCCACTGTTTGTCTGTCTTTTGTGATGCTGAGGAGTGATCTCAGGACCTTCACACCCTCCATCCCTAGCCCTTTTCCTGTTTTTTTATTTTAACACCTTATCTCATTTAGTTACTAAGTTGCCCAGGCTGGGCTGGTGCTTGGGATCCTCAGTTGCCTCAGCCTCCTAGAGTGCTGGGTTGTAAGCACTCTACAAAGCTGTCAAAAGTGGTCTAAAGCCTAGCAAGTGCAGTGGAACAAACCACTCAGTATACAGAAGGGACGACATAACACCGGGAGGCAGTAACGAAGCACATTTTTGCTCAACACCATTGCGTGTGCGTAGTGATCAGGGTGCATGGTGTGCCACCATTGCCTGTCCCTTCTATTTTGTTCATAGTAAAGAACAGTTGAGATGTCGCGTTCCGAGAGCTTGTTCTCTGCTGCCTCCTAGTGTTATGTCGTCCCTTCTGTATAGTGAATAGTTTGTTACATTGCGCCTGCTAGGTTTTAGACCATTTTTGGTAGCTTTGCATACTGGACACATGTCCTTCATGATCCATTTATTGAACACTACCATGGGTTGCATAGTCTCTTTATAATTTCAGTGCTTTGCCCAGGGCTCATCCTGTCTCAGAGAAGTTACAGATGAATGAATGAACCGTAAAGCTAGCGGAGGAGGACATCAGGGCAAGGTCGGGGCTGTTGGAAGGATAGCCACGAGCATTAGCGCCTGAAGCCACTTTGTGAACTGCGGATTAGGAACTGCGTCTGTGGCCGCGTTGAGCTTCCCTGCGCTCCTCTTCACTCTTACACGCTGGTCTGGTCTCTCACAGGGAATTTACTTTCCTTTTTTTTTTTTTTTTTTTAGAACTGGGAATTGAACTCAGGCCCTTGTGGTTGCCAGGCAAAGCACTTATTCTGCTGAGCTATCTCCCTCGGCCCCTCACTGGGAATTTACTGACAAACCCTTCAGATAGTCAGCTTTGGGTATTTTTGTCTTTTGAGACAGGGTCTCACTCTGCAGTTCAGGCTGGCCTTGAACTCATTTTGTAGCCCAGGCTGGTCTGGAACTTGCAGTGATCCTCTGCCTCATTCCTCCAAGTGCTGGGGTTGTAGGTGTACGCCCCCATACGTGGCCAGCCACACTAGTTTTATTGCCTAGATTTTTTTTCTTTTCCTAGTGTTAACACCAGCGCTTGTGCCTCATTGATTTGTTTTGCTTACAGTACTGGGTCTTCCAATTTTAGTATATGTGCTGCCGAAGCGAGCACTAGTACTGGGTCTTGTAGATATTGTTCAGGGGCTCCCCAACTGAGCTGCATCCCCAGCTCTGGTTGTGCCTAACTGAAATTATTCTTACACCTCCTGGAGGCAAGAAAATGACCTCATAGTTTTTATAGTCTTTTAGTTGTTAACTTTTTTTTTGGTACCTGGAATTGAGCTCAGGACCTTGCGCTTGCTAGGCAGCTGCTTAGGCCGCTGAGTTATCTCCCTGGTCCTAGTTTCTAGTTTTTATAGTCGTTTAGGACCCTCCCCCCATAGCAGTTTCTTGAGATAGCACAGCAGGTATGTTGTTTCTCTGCATCTCTGTGTGGAAAATGAAGCGGGACATCAGCTGTCTGGCCAGGTTGGACTTTGCTGGCATGTTTTTGCTCAATACCATTGTGTGCGTAGTGATCAGGTTGTGTGTTTATTTCACTTATACCTTAGTATCATTTGTGAGGCAGAATCAAAAGACAACCCCAAAATGGAAAAGATTCTTGTAACATGTATGACAAAGGACTGATCTGTTTAAGTGACTATAAAATTTGCTTTGAAGCTGCCAAGCAGAAGACACTGTCTTGTTTTGGGCTGTTATAACACATTCCATAGCCCTCCGTAAACAGAAATGTACTTCTGTAGATAAAACAACTTTGTAAGACCTTATACTTCTGGAGGCCAGAGCGTCTGAGACCAGGTTGCCCGCGTGTGTGGACAGGTTCTAGCGAGAGCCCTGCTTGGAGAGGACGGTCTTGCTGCACCCTTGCCCGGGGAGAGCAGGGAGGGGAAGCGGCACTCTCCTGGCTTCTGAGGTCCCCAGCCCAGCACGAGGCCGCATCCCAGCCTCCCGAGGTCCCATCTCCAGGCTCCATCACCTGGAGGATGACGGGATCAGGGGAACCCTGGGGATCAGGGTTCTAGCGTAAGAATTTTAGGGGGCATAAGCACTCAGTTTAGAACAACCACCTGATAAAAAAATGGGCAAAGAACATGGGTAGTTCCCAGAAAAGGAAATGCAGTTTGCTTTTCAACTCGCAGAGGTAGCTAGTCTCTTTCATAAAAAAGGCAAATTAAAAGTACAACGAGTTACTGTTTCTTGCCTGTCCAACTGGTGAAGACCAAACTGTTTGAATGTATATATACCTTGATCAGGATGCAGGGAAACAGGCACTCCTACTTTTTCTTTTTTATATTAGATTTTATTGGTACATTTTAGATATAATGATTACAGTTATCCTAGAGAATTTGTACCTGTACCTGATATAACTTGTTTTTCCCGTCCCTTTAACCCCTCCTCTCCTCCCCATTTACAAAGCTTGGTTTCCATGTTTTCCTCCTCTTGTCATTTTTTTTTCTTTTTACTTTTCCCTTTTCTCTTGTTCTCTTGTTCGTTTTGGTCCTTACTTACCCTTGCAGTTTCTCACATGGCACTCATTCCCTCAAAGTATAAGTTGGAACAGTCGCTTTAGGAAACATTTTGGTGATGTGGAAAGCTTATTTACAGCTGCAGTACTTGATCCGGTAATGCCATTTTTGTGAATGTGTTCCATAGACTGTGTGCAGTGCCTGGACGCCAGTAATCCTGGTAGCAGTATCTTCTGGAAATAGTCTGTGTGCACTGATTCGCTAAGACTTAAGAAGCTACAAAGGCTAGGTGGAAGGAGGAAGAAATGGAAATGACTAATGAGTTACAGGACCTCCTTCAGGGTATGAAAATGCTTGAGACTGGGTAGAGTTCCTAGTTACAAAACTGGAATTGTGGGGGCTGGTGAGATGGCTCAGTGGTCTAAAGCACCTACTTAGAACAAGCTTAGCAAAGCACAGGGACTGAGGTTCAATCCCCAGCACCACATGCCAGCCCGCCCCGCCCCCTGGTGGGCTGAGCTGGACACACACACACACACACACACACACACACACACACACACAAATAAATAAATTAAAAAAAAAAACTGGAATTGTACTAAATATCGCTTCTCTTAAAAGTCTGTTTTGTTTTTTTTTTAAATGTATTTGGTTGTTGCAGGGTCTCACTACAGCTCAGACTCAGTGATCCTCCTGCTTTCAGCCTCCCTGGTGCTGAAATTACAGCGTGCACCACCATGCTGGGACTCAGTTGCCGGGTCAGCGTGCTTGGGTGTGGGGCTGGCATGGCATGTTGTGCTGGGGATTGAACTGCGGTCCCAGCACTTGCCTAAGCTTGCCTGAGCAGGCACTTTAGTCTGCTGAGCTAGCTTGCTGGCCCTTTAAAAATCTATTTTATACTTTTTTTTTTTTCCCGTAGAGTTTTGCCGTGTCAGTAATGAGACTGACGTGGGGCTCACTGTGGCTCAGACTGGCCTTGTGCTTGTGATTCTCCTGTCTCAGCCATCTGAGTACTGGGATTGCAGGTGTGCACCCAGGCCTGGCTCAAAAAGGGTTAATTTTTTAAAAATGTATTTAGTGCAGGGTCTACAGGGTCTCACTACACGGATCAGCTTCATAGTCATCCTCCTGTTTTCAGCCTCCCAAGCGCTAGGTTACAGGTGTATACCACCATGCCTAATCTCATTCGCTATGTCAGTGCGCCCCAGGGCCAGGGTCAGGGATCAAAACACTTTAATCTGCTGAGCTATTTAGCCAGCCCTAGGGTTAATGTTTTGATGTGAGACTGTTACTTCAATTTAAAGAAGAGAAGATGTAGAGTAAAATTTCTCATCCTTTAAAGGTTAAGGAGTATGGTTGAGGCAAAAATGATAGCTGTGTAAGGGCTTGTGTGCCGTGGGGTTATTTCTGGGGAGGTACACAAGAAACTGGGTAATGTGACCTCCTGCAAGGCAGAGTGGGGCTTTGGGTGCAGAAGGAAGAAGAAATATGATTTTTGTGTGTGTGTGTTGTTTGTATTTTGTAGGAAATTTTATTCTGCCTATGGATCTGGTCAAAAGGCTTTTGATCTCTTCAATCCAAACTTCAAATCTACCTGTCAGCGGTGAGCCATTTTCAGGTCCTGGGTCACCTCCCCCTCTTCCCTGCCAAGGTTTTCGCTATGAGCCTGAGAAGCTTTGTCGAGCCCTACTTGAGCAGAGGACGTGGTTCTGGGAACATCTGTTGAAGTTGTGCTTGTTGGTAGGCTGTCACGCCTTGTCAGCCCGCCCAGACACCGTAGTGGCTGAGCTGTGGCTGCTTGCGATTCCAGGTTTGTGGAGAAGTACACCGAGCTGCAGAACCGTGGAGAAACAGACGAAGAGAAGTTGTTTGTGGAAACAGGAAAAGCTTTATTGGCAGAAGGTGTCATTTTAAGACGAGTAGGAGAGGCAAGGGCTGTGAGTACTTTCTTGCTAACATTGTTTTTATTGGGCTCTGGGTGTAGCTTAGTGCCAGGGCACTTGTCTGGCCTGCTCGAGGCCCTGGGTTTGACACTCAGTGAGCACCAAAGTTATTACAGCCAATATCTTTTTATTTTTTAATTTTTAATTTTTTTGGCAGAACTGGGGATTAAACTAGACCTTTGTGCTTGCCAGGGAAGCACTTATTCTACTGAGCCATTTCCCTGGTCCCTTTATTATTTTTTAAAATTTTATTATATTTTATTTTATTTTTTGGTAGAACTGGGGATTGAACTCAGGTTCTTGCACTTTCCAGGGAAGTGCTTATTCTACTGAGCTATCTCCCCAGCCCAAAATTATCTAGACTTTTTTTTTGTGTGTGGTACCAGGGATTGAACTCAGGTCCTTGCGTTTGACAGGCAAGCACTTATTCTACTGAGCCATCTCCCCGCAACAGTTGGTATCTTTGCCTTCATCAGAAGTCAAAGAGCCCGCCACTGTCCTTTCCTCAACCTTGGCGCGTGTTCGGCGCGTGTTCTTAAATTCCAGGTCAGGTACATTTGACTGAGTATACTGAACTGTAGTAATGGCTGCTACTTGGGTCAAGTGAATTGTCAGTTGCGCTCTTCACAGTGTAGTTCTTTTTTTTTTAGGAACTGGGGATTGAACTCAGACCCTTGCACTTGCCGGGGAAGTGCTTATTCTACTGAGCCATCTCCCTGGCCCCACAGTGCAGTTCTGTAGACAGTTTTATCATCCTGTTTGCCGTTTGTTCTAAAAGAGTCTGACAAGTTGCTCATCGTACCTTTTTCTTCAGCAGTGGAATGTGCCTGCTCACCTGGCTGCAGCCAGGTACCAGAGTGGAAATGGTACCATCTGTAACACACCTCTGTCTGTTCTTTTAAGCAACAGGGAGGTAGCCACGTGCTTGCCAGATCCCAAGCTGCGTCAGACAGAAACCAGCCCAAGGAAGAAGTCAGTGAGGACCAGCATTCGGAGGCTCCTGAGCAGCAGTCGAAAGGTCTCCCCACTCCCTGAAGGACCTGTATACCGTGTATACAAGCAGCGTGCTGTGCGCTGCAGGGAGCGAGCTGTTTTTAACACTGGACTGTATAGATGCCTCCCGAACTCCAAGCGCATTGTGCGTGAGCAGTATGGGTTTCACTTCTGGGTTGTCATACAGCTCAGTATCACAGCAGTTTTGTGAACTTTTACCTTAGAATATTACTAAATAAAGGATTCTGCCCTGCTGATAAAGTATATTTGCTCTGAAATTGTAAGTAACGCGAAGAAACCTTTAGAAAGATTGTGTGAATGGGACTGTCTGAGTGTGCTCCTGGGATGTTCTTGTTGGCTAGTAGTGGGGTGCATTTGTTTTGTTAGGGTTTTTGTTTGTTTTTTGAGCCAGGCTCTGACCATGCAGTTCAGGCTGGCCTTGAGTTCACTGTGTAGCCCAGGCTGAGCTTGAACTTGGTGGCAGTCCCCCTGCCTCAGCCTCCCGAGGGCTGGGATTACAGGGGTGCGCCACTACGCCTGGCAGCTTCTGTGCTCTGCTGTGAGTCTCTTCTCTGGAGCCATCAGACTCTTCCTTGCACACATGGCAACATCAGACTCTTCCTTGCACACATGGCATGGTCCTGGGCCAGCTATGTCCTTCTGGGGGTAATTTTTGTGCCTCTGCTATGCCGACGTCACCTTGAGAGGCCATGCTGACTTGTGCTCTGCAGGGAGGACGAACCACCAGTGATGGACAGAGGCTAACCCTGGAGCTTTATTGTTGTGGATTGAATGTGTTGGAGACAGCATAGGCCCACGCTGAGTAGGCTGCTCAGAATTGTTGAATGAATGAATGAATGAATGAATGAATGAATGAATGAATGAATGAATATAGGATTACACAAACAGCTGGTGGCCCTGTAGATCAGTGGGTCAGTGGGTGGCCGGGGCAGTTGATGGCAGTGACACTCCGTGAGCATACTGCCTCCCCGGCTGTGCTTGTAATCCTCCCCAACTGTCCTGCTGTCCTTGTTTCCCATGTGTTAGTAAGTAAACAAAATACTCCTCAGATTGTAGCTGAGATTGTATTTATGATGAAGCTAATAGTTTTTAGCTAATAGTAATAGGCTGCTGCTTCAGAAATTCCTTATTTTATTGTAATTTTTTAAAAATGTATTTTGTGGGCTGGTGAGATGGCTCAGTGGTCTAAAGTGCCTACTTAAAACAAGCTTAGCAAAGCATCAGGGACTGCAGTTCAATCCCCCAGCACCACATGCCAGCCAGTCCCGCCCCCTGGTGGGCTGAGCTGGCCACGCGCATGCGCGCGCGCGCGCGCACACACCCCCACAAATAAAATTTTTTAAAAAATGTATTTTGTATAGGGTCTCACTATGCAGCTCGGACTCATAGTGATCCTCCTGTTTTCAGCCTCCCCAGTGCTGGGATTATAGGCGTGCGCCACCATGTCTGGACTTGTTCGCTGGCTTAGCTCACCCCATGGTGGGGGCGGTGTGGCATGTGGGACTGAGAATCGAACCCCGGTCCCTGCACTTGCCAAAGCAGGTGCTTAGTCTGCTGAGCTAGCTCACTGGCCCTCAAGCTTTTCTACCCATGGGTTCTTCTGGTGGGCTGAGAGGCAGGGTCCACATCTCGCAGGCTGCTTCCCCTCCCTTTGTACTCGGGTACTAAAGGTCAGTGAGTTCCTGAAGCAGAAGCGTTTTCCAGTTATGCTGCCTCTGCCCAGTTTTTCACTTTACAATTCCTTGCATCTGGGGAAGACTTCTCTTTTAGAGGGGGAAGTCACTTTCATTCTTTTGTTTGTTTTTGAGACAGGGTCTCGCTATACAGTTTTGGGTGGCTTTGAGCTCACTTTGTAGCCCAGGCTGGTCTTGAATTCGTAACAATCCTACCTCAGCCTCTGGAGTGCTGGGGTTATAGGTGTGCGCCCATTCTTTTCTTTTTGCAGTACCAGGGATCGAACTCAGGACCTTGTGCTTGCCATCTCCCCAGCCCATCACTTTCATTCTTTTTTTTTTTTTTTTAATATTTATTTATTTATTTATTTATTTATTGTGTGTGTGTGTGTGTGTGTGTGTGTGTGGCCAGCTCAGCCCACCAGGGGGTGGGGCGGGCTGGCATGTGGTGCTGGGGGATTGAACCGCGGTCCCTGTGCTCTGTTCAGCCTAGTTTGTTCTAAGTAGGTGATCCACACCACCGAGCCATCTCACCAACCCCCCATCACTTTCATTCTTTCAGAAACTTTAGACAGGGGCTGGTGAGATGGCTCAGTGGTCTAAAGCACCTGCTTAGAACAAGCTTAGCAAAGCACAGGGACCACGGTTCAATCCCCCAGCAACACATGCCAGCCAGCCCCGCCCCCAGGTGGGCTGAGCTGGCCACACACACACACACACACACACACACACACACGCATAAATAAATAAAATAAAATTTAAAAAAAAAACCTTTAGACAGCCAGTGAACCTGGTAATGAAGGCCTGTAAACTCTGCTTGGGAGGCTGAGGCAGGAGGATCACTGTGAATTTCAGGCCAGCTTGGGATACACTGTGAACTGAAGGTCACTGCAGTTGCCTTGTTTGTTTTTGGTCGTTTTTGATTTTACTGTATTTTTTTGAATTGTTTTTTAGGGGAGGTTTATTTTTTGTTTTTGGTGCCAAGGACCGAACCCAGGGCTTCCAGCTTGCTAGGCAAGCATTCTACCGCTGAGCCAAATCCCCAGCCCCTCAAGGTCACTCTGAATTCCAGAGCAAGACGTTGTCTAAAAAATAAAACATGACAAAACAAAAGACATGAGGCCACCATTGGGTATAAGTATCAGGGCAGACCTTGGGAAGAGGACCTACACAAGCAGGTAAAGGAGGAACAACAGGTGGTGGGGCGGTGTCACTCATCTCTGAACCTTAGCTTTCAGGTTATAAAAGTGAATTTCTTTGCCATAATGATAAGACTTTTAAAAAGTTACTTGTTGCATACTTTAAAAAAAACTTAGGGGCTGGGGAGATGGCTCAGTAGAATTAAGCGCTTCCCTGGCAAGCGCAAGGGCCTGAGTTCAATCCCTGGTTCCACAAAAAAACAAACAAAAAAAAAAACTTAGACATACACATAGTTCAGAATTTAAAGGTGGAAAACCCTTCTACTACCCAGCTGTGCAACTTACTCTGGGGTACTGCTATCTTACTTTTCTCATTGCTGGGACAAATACCCAACACTCAAAGGTTGAAAGGTTTAATTAGCTCAGTTTGTAGAAGTTTCAGTCCAGAATCAGCTGGTTCCAAGGCAGGTAGCTTGGGGGTGGCTTGGCACAGGGGCACTGCAGAAGAGGCAGTCCATGGCAGGCAGCAAAAGCAAGGAAGGAAGGGAAAGACAAGCCTCTCCCTGTCCCTTATATCCAGCCTGTCAGGACTAGGGCAGTACCACTCTATCACTGGACCAATTTAGTAATCACCTGCTCTTAGTCCTTGTACCCTCAATCCTAGCACTGTACCACGAATCAGTTGCATGCTCTAGACTCGGCTACCTCTGAAACAGCCCCACCTATGACTGCATGAGGCTTTGGGACACAAACCAGACACCAACCATAACATTCTGGTGCTGGACTCCCAAACACTCATGTCCGTTCCTTTATACAAAAGGCATTCAGTCTATTTCTAAGAGTTGACAAAGTCCTAACAGTTCCAGCATTTCCAAAAAGCCCATCTTCTCTGAGATTTAAGGCAAAGTTTTCACTGTGAACTGCTGTACAAATGAACCTCCCAAACTACAGTTCAATGACACAAGGTAGACATTTCCACTCCCAAAGGAACAGACAGACAGATAAAAGGAGTGGGACCAAAGCAAGTCCAAAATCCAGCAGGGCAAACATAAAATCCTATAGCTCAGGACTTAAACTATGGCCAGCTTTGAACTCCAAAGGTCTCAGGTGGTTCCACTCATACAGCATTTGTGGTGGTTGTAGCTCCTGTGGCTTCTCTCTTGGCTGGCTGTGTTCATACCTAGCAGTTTTCCTTAGACAATCCATGTTCCTGCCTTCTCCAAACTTATGGGGTTTCCAGTGCTCCTTGGCTTACATTCACAGCTTCACACACTGCCCTCTCAGGGCCACACTGCCTGGCCTCCCAGGCCTTTTGAAATCTGAGTGGAAACCTTTCTGACCCCACAACCTTTCTGACCCCACAAACCATTCTGCATGCACTAAGACTAGGACCATATGGATGATGCCAAGGCCTGGCACCAGCTGGAGCAGTAGCCAGGTTTCCTCCTCTTGGCTATAGGAGTCCAGTGCCAATGGACCAAATCCCAAGGTACAGCTTCTCCAAGCTGCCACCATTCTTGAATGTGGTACTCTGGGGCTCTATTCTCAAAGCAAAGTCTTCACTTTTGCAGTTTCGAGGCTGTGAAGAGTGGAGTCCTGCTGCTTCTTGTGATGCCCTTAGGCCATCTATTTTCTTCTGACATACGTCATTTCTTGCTAGTGTTTTTAATCATTCCACTGGGCTCTCTGCTCTTGATTCTTAATATATATCTGATAAAAGCCTCCAATAGCAGCCATGCCTCCACCTCAATATTAGACTGCCTTGAAATTTTTTCTGCCAGATTAATTAGTCTGCCCCCATTAATCTCAGTTTCAGGGAAAGTCTCCGGACACAAGCAAAATGCAGACAAACTTTCTACCAAGCCATAATACACATTGTCTGGAGTCCAACAGTCAGTGCAGTCCTTCCCAGCAGAAACCTCCCCAGTCTGGTCTTTACTGGTGGTATTTCTGTCAGCATTCTGGTCTTCTGAGCTCTCTTCAGAATCTCCCAAGTATAGCCTAACGTGTTCCAGTTCTGCTTTTACAGTTGTCATCTCTCAGCCTTTCAGAATTCTTCCTGCTCCCACAATACAGCTCCAGTGTCTCCCAAACCACATGATCAGGTATGGTCACAGCAATGACCCCACTCCTGGCACCAAATTATGTTTTAATTATTTTTCTTTCATTGCTGAGACAAAATACCTGACACCCAAAGTTAAAAGGGAAAAGATTTACTTATCTCACAGTTTGTAGAGGCTTCAGTCCAAAATTGGCTGGTTACAAGCAAGGTGGCTTAGCAGAGGGGCAATGCAGAAAAGAGGCAGTTCATGGCAAGCAGACTGTAGGCACTCTTCCAGGATTAGGATGGTACCAATCTAATCAATCTAATCTGTTGGGGAAAAGCCTTCATCAGGTCCTTATGGGGTTCTTGGGGAGAATGGAAGTCTGG